ATGTAAGGCCCACAGCCCTACAAAGCCACAATCGTGGTAGTACAATATACGACGATTAAGACATGTGGCGGCAGCTAGAAGCTGACTACATAGACCACCAACTCCCATATGTGTGTCTTGGTTGTCGGGCCAGTGAGAAGGGACAAGTCGTCCCCGGTTTCTGAGGTCTCTCCTCTCGCCATCTCAAAAGCCCGTCTGGAAAAGGACATGGAAACGAAGTCGGCTCGACTTAGGGGCTCAAAATACCAGGCACAAAAGGCGGTTGGTAAGTTTGAAGGAATAATACAGAGCCACATGCAGCATCATAGGATGCTGTCGTGGTCCGCTCGTCTCCCGTCCCTGGATGAGCGCAGTCGATCAAAAAAAAACGTTTTTCTCATACGAGGCTTTTGATTGGACTTCATTTACCATCATTGCTTGTCTTCGGTGAACAAACACTGTATAAGAACAATCTTGTCCAAAACGGAAACAAGGATGGCTCTTGCGTAAGTGGCTTTTCAAAAGAAATGATGGGCAGATTGCACATAAAGAGATTCTGGTTCGACTCCCTCATCTAACCGAACATCTCGAGAGTAGGATGCCTTAATCAAAGCACTTCATATACTATCACGCCTCTGTTATCCAATCCAATTTCTCAGCTATGTCCTCCAGTGATGCTCACCTTCGTACAGCAGGATAAAACATGTGTACCAGATGGTCACGTATGGGACATCCGTACATCAAGCACATGGTATCACAGCATATCCTTTGGTCTTCTAGAGCACAGCAGCACATTACCATACCGAGGGACTGTATCTATACATGCCATACGAACATCCCAATTGTCCGCGGTCTTAGCACTCAACATTGAGGATCGATACGTCACAAGCAGAGAAAGCAGTACCATAGAAACACATGCCCAATTTTGATATTTTTTTGTCTACCTAGTCCTAGTATAAAAGACGAATGCAGCTGCACGGGCAGTAAAGCATCAAGACTGGCCTGCGGCCCATTCTCCTCCCTCCTCGTCAGTTCAGCTCGGCGAAGAAATTTACTTCTTGGCGGCCTTGGCAGCCGACTTGGTGACCTTGCCGGCACCGGCAGTGGCCTTCTCAACCGACTTGATGACACCGACAGCAACGGTCTGGCGCATGTCACGGACGGCGAAACGGCCCAGAGGGGGGTAGTCAGTGAAGGCCTCAACGCACATGGGCTTCGAGGGCGTCAGCTTGACAATGGCGGCGTCACCCGACTTGATGAACTTGGGGTTGTTCTCAACCGACTTGCCGGTACGGCGGTCGATCTTCTCAAGGATCTCGGTGAACTTGCAGGCAATGTGGGCGGTGTGGCAGTCCAGAACCGGGGCGTAGCCGTTGCCGACCTGGCCGGGGTGGTTCAGGACAATGACCTGGGCGTTGAAGGTGGCGGCGCCCGAGGGGGGGTCGTTCTTGGAGTCACCGGCAACGTTGCCACGACGGATCTCCTTGACGGAGACGTTCTTGACGTTGAAGCCGACGTTGTCGCCGGGAACACCCTCAACAAGCTGCTCGTGGTGCATCTCGACGGACTTGACTTCAGTGGTGACGTTGGACGGGGCAAAGGTGACGACCATGCCGGGCTTCAGGACACCAGTCTCGATACGGCCGACAGGGACAGTGCCGATACCGCCGATCTTGTAGACATCCTGGAGGGGCAGACGCAGGGGCTTGTCCGTGGGGCGCTTGGGGGGCTCGACGGCGTCAATGGCGTCCAGCAGAGTCTTACCGGTAACCTTGCCGCTCTTGCCCTCCTTCTCCCAGCCCTTGTACCAGGGGCAGTTGGTCGAGGGAGTAAGCATGTTGTCGCCGTGGAAGCCCGAGATGGGGACGAAGGCAACAGTCTTGGGGTTGTAGCCGACCTTCTTGATGAAGTTGGAGGTCTCCTTGATGATCTCCTGGTAACGAGCCTCAGCCCACTTGGCCGTGTCCATCTTGTTGATGGCGACGATCAGCTGCCGCACACCCAGGGTGTAGGCGAGCAGAGCGTGCTCACGAGTCTGGCCATCCTTGGAGATACCAGCCTCGAACTCACCAGTACCAGCGGCAATGATGAGAATGGCGCAGTCGGCCTGCGAGGTACCAGTGATCATGTTCTTGATGAAATCGCGATGACCGGGGGCGTCAATGACGGTGACGTAGTACTTGGGGGTCTCGAACTTCCACAGAGCAATATCGATGGTGATACCGCGCTCACGCTCGGCCTTGAGCTTGTCCAGAACCCAGGCATACTTGAAAGAGCCCTTGCCGAGCTCAGCAGCCTCCTGTTGTGGTTGTTAGCGACTGTTGGTTTCCAGACGTGACGTTCATTTGGCGGGGGTAAGCAGCAAAGGCAGTGCAGATGGAGTGGGTTGAAGTGAAGAGGGTTTCTGGGATGATGGCCCATGCGCGGTGATGACTGGCGCCCAGAGCATTGACCGCCAAAAATGTAGACGCGCCAACGTGGCAGAAAAATGCAAGGTGGAAGACACCATTTGCCCCTCCACCCCACTTTTATGTGTTGGAGGGGAAAATGAATAAGAGGAAGAGGGGCAAGTCGAAGAGAAAGAAGTGTACGTTTGCGCAGCCTGGTGGACAAGGGAAAAGAGCGCTAAAAAACTTTTTTCTCTTTGCCCAACACAGACAAATTGCATAGAGATAGGCCAGGGAATAAGGAGAAACGTGAAAGAAATGCTGATGTGCTGATATGTGATGGGAAGTGCCGAAAATGGCAGAAAAACCGCGTCTCAAGTATCGATTCGTCGGGTGTCAAAACTAACCTTCTCGAACTTCTCAATGGTACGCTTGTCGATACCGCCGCACTGGTAGATCAAGTGACCGGTAGTGGTCGACTTGCCAGAGTCGACGTGGCTATTGTATGTTAGACTTGTCTGTGGCGTGGCTTGCGGCTGTTGAGCCGTTGCGAGCCAGTCGGCTCAAAAAGGAGTGTAGAGAGGCACATACCCGATGACCACGACGTTGATGTGAGTCTTCTCCTCCTTACTGTAGACATGACAGTGGTTAGCAAGTGTGTTTTGTGATGAAAGCTTGCTGGTCGTTGTATCGCTCGTTGCCAATGTTGATGGAAATCAACCGCCGCCGTTTGACAGGCATCAGATGATATCGATGGCGACAACGGCGACGATGGCAGCGAGCGATGGAAACGATTTGCTGACCAGAGAGCGAAGAGCCAAAACATACCCCATGGTGACGGATTGAAGCTAGTTGCTTGTTTTGATTGTTGGTGTTTTTTTTCTTGAAGAATCTGAATAGGGATGAATGTCAGAAGCGATGGTCAGGCCGAAGACAAGATGCCGTTTCCGATAGATCGGTTGGATTGTTGGAAAGTCGAAGCTGCCGATGGAAATCGACTAGATGCGATGACAATAAAACTTACAGCAGATCAGAATGCTCGATTCAAGGTGTGCCAGACGAGGAGAGAAAGGAAGGGAAAAAGTTTGAAAAGAAACAAGTGCGTGGGAGGGGTTTATATGAGACGGGAGGGGACAAAATGGGCAAGTGAATGGCGGAGCAGAGTTTTTGGGCTTGTTTGGAGCGAAACAAAAAAAAATAAAAGGCAAGAGCGGGGTGTGGTTGGTTGCCAGGGCTTTGTGCCCCACTGGCAGAAAATAAAACGACACTAAGAAGGAAAAATTTTGTGTCTCTCTTCCCGTTTTTTCGCCGCTTCAGTGGAGGGGAAGTGCCCCTCCTTCCTTGATTGGAAGCAAGTCCAGCCCAAACAGAGGGGTTTGGTGCAAGCGGTCGCGGTTGCCGTCGCAAGCAATGCGAGGCAGGGGGTAAAAAAAACTTTTCTGCCCCCCCAGTTCTTTTCCCTGCCAGCCTGTCCACTCTGCCTCGATTTCGTTGCTTCTTTTGCGACCGCCCTGCAGTTCATTGGCCGCTTTCAGCAGCTTCGTTGTTCGGTTCTTGCCTATCGTGCATATCGTGCTTCGCAGGCCAACCAGATCGCCACTTACTCAAGTAAGGAAGGAGCGCGGGCGGCAAGCTGAGGCGCCGGCGCAATTGGCCCGTGACTGTGCAACATCCTAATTCGGGGGGCAAAAGAGAGGTCGACACGGGAGGTGAGTCGTAATAATCATGCCGCTACTATCAAGAGAATTCTTCGGTTTCGATCTAAGTACTTTGTACTGTACGCCGTATGTAGCTTGCGCGACGTGCTCCATATGGAAATGCAGAAGTTGCGATGCTCGCCAGTACGAAAACGGGAGCAGGAGCCTTCCTTCTCTATGCGGCATGCAAAAGCTTGTTCGCTCTTTGCCAAATCCAGAAGGGACGAGAGGTAGCTACTACATACAGGCCGGAGCTTGTCGTATGTTGTACAGTCGTTGGGCTTGGAATGTCAAAATGGCGCTAAGCCGTTTTGCATCGTGTACCCAACTGTGGATTTTGGGCCGAAAGGCCAGACAACAAGCTACGACGGACAACAGACAATGCAAGACCGACAAAGGAGCAGTAAAGGAAGGCAGATACCCCGCGGATGACATTCGACACAGGAGAACGGAGTATGATACGTCGTACGGATGTTATCGTTTTCAGAAGGCATGAGGTGGCGCCGGCATGAGTCACTCTGCCGTTTGTTCGAGCTCTGTTCCAGGGCATAAAGGCCAAACAGTCGCAGATGTGCCTGAGGAAGCACGCATGAGGCCACCCATCGCTCACCTGGGTGGTTCCTGTGACACAACATACTGGGTCGAGGCTGGATCATCGAACAGATAACTACGACGCAATGGGGCAAACAAGGTTACGAGAATATGCATTTATCAAGAGCTTCTCGTCATATGATTTTGAAGCTTCATAATGTCCGCCAAAACGCCACTGGGAATATGCTCCCGTTCTATGAGATCGTACTATGCCGCTTTACCGTGATCTATCGTACAAAATGTGAAACCTCCCCGCGCCATGCCAATATATATACAGTGACTGTTGTCGGGAAAGGACAGTGACTGAGCAAACCCTAGTCATCAAAATCGCCGCCCTTTCTCCTCCTCATACAACCTGCCGGTGACGCATCAACCACTGCACGCGGTCTCCATGCACCATATGGCCGACTGCCTGGCGGAAGCTCGCCTTGCTGGCATCGAATGACGCATCCCCGGCAGACGGTAAGCCGGAGACGGAGCTGGCTGGAATTGCCTCCAGGTTGAGCTCAGTCCAGCGTCCATCGCCACGCCCAGCTTCGACGCTCGTCAGAGCCGCCGTCCAGCCCTCAAACGCCGTGGCAACCCGCCGGCGCACCTCCAGGCCAGCAAACACGTAGTCCACAGTCACCTGCCCGTGCTGCTGCGCACCACCAGTGTTGCTCACATCAGCAGGGAGGAGTACGTCGGCCGGCAGGGGCAGTCCCTCGAGACAGAGAGGCGTGGCGAGAACGGCTGCACCTGGCTGGCCGCCATCGAGCTGGAGCTGGGACTTGTCGAGGAAGCGGACGAGCGGCTCCAGGCCCGTGTTGTTGCTTTCCGCATCGGCCGTGGGCAGCATGTCCGCCCCAGGCAAGGCGAAGAACTGCTTCTGGGTGATGCGCACATCGACGGGCTGCGTAGGGAACAACACGTCGCTCGTGTTGGTTGCCGTCACCACGTGCAGCTGGGAGAAGACGGGTTGCTGGCCTGGCACAGCGTCCAGGAATACTTCCAGAAGCGGCGCACGGCCGGCCAGTGCCGTCTTGGGGTCGGGCAAGAAGCGCAAGGTGATTGTCGTGGATGTCGTGGCCAAGGAAGGCGGCGCTGCAGCTGTGTCTTCCTCCGTAGCCGGTGCTGGGCCCCTGTCTGCCAGAGAGCTGAGGCCAAGCAGCGGTGGCACTGTCGGTGAGAGAATGCGCGCCAGGTCGGGCAGCGGCGGTGCCACATCAGAGGTGGCGCCTTCCACACCGAACAGCAACCCTGCATGATGCATCGACTGTGCGTGGAGGACTCGGCCAAACGTAGCCACGGTCGATGTCCGGCTGGCTTGGTACCACTGCGGGTTTGGTTGATTGTCAATGGTCGAGGCCGTCAGCCCTGTGAAGGCCATGGGTAGAGCGTCCTCGCTCGGTGTCGTCGTCGTCTGGGCGGCGCGTTGGCGGGCCGTGGACGCATCCAGTGGCGCCGGCTCGATCAGTCGCGCCCATTTGCCCTGGCGCTGCTCCCACGGCCACGTCTCGCGGCTGCTCTCATCCGTCTCGGCCAGGAACCGGGCCTTGGATCGTTTCAGCGGCGTGTAGTCGAGCACACTTGTAGCGTGCGCCGCGGGCAGGCTCGTCGGCCCAAAGGCACGCAGCAGCAGTCGGTACACCAAGTCACCCGTGTCTTCGAGGTCGATGTTTCGGTCGGCCGCCGCCACCCAGCTGACCAGCACTTCGGACGAACTCGTGCCGCTGTCATCCTTGGCTTGCTCGTTACGCAGGAGGCGCACCCAACTGCCTGTGAGCGCTCCGACCGCCCGCAGGACGGCAGGCGTGATGACAGCATCCTGCCGTGCCACGTCCGCCAGCGGGAAGCGCTTGGTCGTGGCCTGGCACAGCATCCCGTGGATCTCGGCGAGGATGGCGTCGGCTGTGGATGCAGGCGCAAAGATGCGCAGTTTTTGGCGGCCGGGTAGGAGCTCTATATGCCGGTGGTGGCGCGTTTGACTGCGGCTGTGCGAGCGGCTGCTGCTGCGGCTGGTCGTGGCCGTGGTTGTGGTGATGGTCGAGTATGCCGTCGAGATGTCACGCAGCCACGTCTGGGCACCGGCTGTCAGCAGTGCGAACTCGAGCTCCTGCACAGTCACATCGAGCCGGCCAGGCGCCTCCATCACCTCGCGCTTCGACACGCCCCAGCACTCGCGCATCAGCTGCACGACCACGCGCTCCTTGTTGGTCATAGATGTCTGGATGTAGCCCTTGAGCAAGAGGCTCGAGCCGGGCCCGATCGCCTTGATCTTGCTGTCGACAACCGCCTCGTCGCCGTAGACATCGGGCACCCATGGCCGCCGCCGCACCTCCCACGGATATACGGTCGGCTGGGTGGTCGGCTTGCGGTACTTTCGGATGTAGGCCAGCAGTTGGGCAACGGTGAAGCCCTCGGCCAGCTCGCGGGCGCTTTTGCTAAAGGCGCTCTCAGAAAGGATCGTCTCGTCGGCCGGTCGCAGCTCGTCAATGTAGCTGAACACCTCCGTCTCGGTCGGCTCGCCCTCTTCCTCAAGCAAAGAGTTCCATATCTGCTCCGCATCAGCGTCTGTGATCTGCTCGTCGAGTGGCTCGTCGGCAATATTGCCGTTCGTTAGGGGAATGTCGGCGTCGGAGTGCTGTTGGCTTTGGTACAATTCGCGCCCGCTGTGGAAGTAGGCCGGCGCATTTCGCGGAAGATGGTTTGCCGGTACTTCAGGACGCCGGTTCCACGTTATCACCGGTCTCTGTCCATGGACGAATACCGTCGGCGCAACAAAACGTGGAAGGCGTCGTTGCGTTGTCGTATGGAACAGACGGAACTCACACTGAAGGCACATAATGCCGCTCAGATGCGGCCGTCCGGCCACCATGAGGGGAGAGTACCACAACCGCTCAAGACCGCAATTGGCCTTTTCTGCAAGTTGACGTGAGTTGTGAGGCTGTAGAGAAGAAAACAGTGGAAGCAAAATGCAAGCACGGCATGTTGTGAGCTTCTCGCGACGACTTGCACATCAAAAGTTTTGCAGCTGTCCCGGATAGGTCTAGCGTGTTTTGACACTGTAAACCTTCTTGCGGATATCTGCATACTACAAAATGTGATGGAACGAGATGTTTAAACTGAAGTCTGTCATAGGAATTGAACCTTGAGAGTACTGGATTTAGATGCAGTATTTCACCTGGATTTAATAAAGGTCATTTTTCTCTACCATTTACCAGGAATATTCTGCAAAGAGACGCCTGTCCAGCGGTCGGTTTTATATGCTTAAATCGGGGCGTCTGTCTTGCCCGCGATTTGCTTGAACCTCATCCAAATCAACGCCAGATGCACACTACTTCACAACAGCTACAGACTCTACTTGCGACGAATCTGGCCCAACATCGAACACGATATACCACGTCGACATCCCTCGCGATCCAGATAGCGTACAGACGAGCCACAGCCGGACCAACGACATTTCCTCCCGTCCGGACTGCCCGGACCTAGATCCTCGGTGGTCCCTCTTCGATTTTCTATTTCTCTACCAAGCACAGTCCACCATGCGCGCAACATTAATACGCCCTTCAAAGGGCTTCTGGGGTCGGAGCTACGACGAGCTCAAACGTCTGTCCAATATTGGTAGGTTCGGCGCCCGTGTGCGTCCAGAATCGCTTGCCACCATAGTGGAGGAACTAACCCATCACCTCGCAGCCATCCGCCTCGAGGGCGTCAAGGGCCCCTCTGGCCCGTACGAGCTCATGGCCTTTAGCAGCCCGGCCTCCCTCGACGACTGCAAGCTCATGACCGACGACGAGATTGGCGGCTTCTCCACAGCAGACCTTGACTGGGTGCCATCATCGCCACCACAAGCAACCACCTGCGCATCCTCCACATCCTCCACATCCTCCTCGTCTTCCTCGTCTTCCTCGTCTTCCTCGTCTCCATCACATCCCTCTTCCACCTCCACACCACCGTCCGGCGGCTACCTCCGCTTCCGCGGCTCCATATCCACACGTCTGCCCGCCGGCCGCCCAGACATCCAGCGCACCGGCTACGCCGCCTGGCGCACCGCCGACCGCCAGGCCACCGTGTTTGGCCGCTCCCTCTGGGACGTCGACTCCTACGCGTACCTGGCCCTGCGCGTGCGCTCCGATGGCCGCAGCTACCTCGTCAACGTCCAGACCGACTCCATGGTCGCGCCCACCGACCTGCACCAGCACCGCCTGTTTGCGCGGCGCCCGGGCCAGTGGGAGACCGTGGTGGTGCCGTGGTCCGACTTTGTGCGGACGAACCACGGGTTCGTCGTGGAGCCGCAGACGGAGCTGCTGCGGCAAAAGGTGCGGTCGGTGGGGCTGGGCTTGACGGACCGGGTGCCGGGCCCCTTTGAGCTGTGCGTGGCGCGGCTGTGGGCGACGAACAACCCCAACGAGGCCAACAGCGACAGCGAGCTGCCGGCCGAGACGCGACACGCCGTTCAGGCGGCCGAGGAGGCGGTGGCGGCCGTCGCGTCACACAACCAGCTGCGGAGCGCGGAGCGCGAGGTGGAGGTGACGGCCAATGTTCCGTTTGCACCACCCGCGACGACGGCTGCCTCTGCCGCGTCGCCCGCAGCAGCAGCATCAGCAGGCACAGCGTCGGCATCGGCCGAACCACAGCACCCGCTGAAGAACAAAAAGGGACGGCCAGTGCGGTGGGACACAGACAAGGAGCCGCCGCGGCAAGAACACTCACAACAGTAGATGTACGAACGCAAAATAAATAAATAAAGTTGTCTGTGACTCTCTTGTACTGGATTTGAACTTGCTTGACCTACACGGTCATGCCCAGGTTACCGCTCCATAGTGATGTCCATGGAATATTTGTTGTGCAACCGCAGTCAAGGTTGGATGGGCTCCTTTACGGCGGCTTAGTATTGAAGTTTTTCAAACCAAGCAGGAATTGAATACTGAGGAGTCATGATTCATGATAGTCGTGAACAAATAGGCCGTAATATCAAACGACCTCATACATTGTATTCCAAAAGCGATACTACTAAATGAATGTTGCCAAAAAGCCGAAGCCTTAACCAGGCTTGTATGTCTCTGATGATGCCCAGTAATGAAGCCGAACTGTTATCCCAAACCGATGCCTGACGCCGATGGGAAAGTCTCTTTCTTTCCCTGACCAGTACAAAAATGTGGATGTAATGAAAGCAAATGTTCCCTTTGAACCTCCCACCCCGTTTGTTTTGACGCCGTATGCAAACCAAAGGCAGTATAGGAAAACAATCAAAAATAAAAAAGAGCATGGTCGTGAACAACGAATAACCCAATCCAAAAATGCAAGGCGTGCAATGGCAAAGCAATATACAAGCTAACAGTAGCCTGTTCGCGCCAAAGTCGAAAAAATATGTACGCGAGCCTTTCATGAGCTCATTGGGGGCCGTATGTCACAAGGGACCCCCCAGGTGTTATATATGCGGAAGTGGACATGTATTTTGAGAGAGGGAAGAAAAAGGCGTAGAGACTGTGAGTAGGAGAGATCATTGATTGGATTGCAGCAGCTTCCGCTTGATGTAGTTCCGCTTCTTATTGCGGGTGGGCTGGAATCGAACGGCTGTGGCCTCAGCATTGGTCTCAACCGGTGCCGCAGCACCTGCTCCCGGGAGCGGCGTGGCAGGCGAAGGGTGTTGGACCACGTTCGCCCGTCCCGGCTGAGACAGGCGACCCTGGCGCGCGACGTTGTTTCCGGCATTGTTTCCGCTCGTGCCAGCGTTGTGCTTGCGGAAGTAGGCGGGCGAAAAGAAGCTGTGGTGCGCCGGCGTGTTCGAAGGAGCACCGCCGCTGTCAAAACCGACGGCCTTTTCCGGATCCACAGGCCCAGTGACCGGATTGTCCGACACCTCGCCTGTGTGCTGCGCATTGTGCTGGCGTCCGGCAAAGAAACCCTCGGCGCCGACCATGTCCGAACCACTACTCCGGTCGCCATTGCTACGGTCGAGTACGCGGAACGATTGCACGCGCGGCTGCTTGCCCTTTTCAGACATGACGCCGCCGAGTCCATCGCCGTGGTCGCTGCCAAAGTTGCGCTTTGCCAGACGCTTGCCATTCTTGTTGACGGCAGTGACGAAGCCGCCGAGGCGTTCCTTGGGCGTCGCATCGACAGTTTCGTCGACCAACATGTAGATGACGCCGGCAACGATGCCGGCTAAGACGAGCGCGGTCAGGATGCCAGCGCCGACACGGTCGCCCGTGTTGATGTTCTTCAGCGTCGATTGCGGCTGTGTACGTCCAATATCGGAGCCACCAGCGTTGGGGTCGCCCACGGAGGTACCGCCGGTGCTGTTGGTCACCGGGTCGGTCACGCTCTTAATCATGTTCGCGAGTGTGACCTCCATGGCGGCCATCTGCTGGCCCACGCCCGTGGAGCCGTCCCATGTGCCATTGTCGGTCCAGCGCAGGCCACACATCCGACCGTTGTCACCGCCAGTGCACTGCTTCGCAGCTGCTATGGCGGACGCATTGAGCAGTGGCATGATGGTTGTCGAGGTCCAGGGTGCCCACTTGGTCGTGGCGGCCATCCAGCGGCTGAGGTAGGCCTTGAACGATTGCTGGTCGAGATCGCACAGGTTGACAGGCTCGCAGGCAACTTCGGTCATGATGTTCCGGTCGTTGGTCGTAAAAAATACGGCGGAAGCGTTGAGCAAGCCGTCGACGCGTTCCTTCCACAGCGCCTCGTTGTTCGAATCATTTTGAAGGGCGCTGTAGTTGTACATGGCGGCGGAGCCAAGGAGGAAGTTTCCGACATTGTAGCTCCACTGGTACGGCGTGAGGTCGGTGCAGCCGGACTCAATGTGTGCACCGTCGAAAATGTTGTAATGCTCATCCATAAACTTGATATGCCTCATCCAGTCGTAGGTCTTGACGGCCCACTCGCCGTAGGTGGCGTTGCCAGTATAAAGAAAAAGGCGGGCGGCGAGGTTGAAGAAGCAAGCCTGGGAGATGGAGTTCTTGTAGTCATAGCCGTTGTTCCAGTTGAAGATCTGCCAGCGCAGGCCGCCGGCACAGTCGGCGTCCTCCCAGCGGGCGGCCTGGGTATTGAACACGGCCTGGGCCAGCGCCAGCCAGCCGGGCTTGCCCTTTGGTGGATCGGGGAACTTGTACTCGGCGGCGGTCATGACGGAGAGGCCCCAGAAGCCCTGGTCATCGTTTCCCTCGGTCAGGGTCTGGTTGGGCGGCATGTAGTCGTTGTTTGGGCCGACCTGGAAGAGCAGGCCATCTGTAATGAGCTCATTGTACCGTGTGTCGCCGGTGTAGTACCAGTAGTCGACGAGCGAGCCCAACATGGCGCCAGCTTCCCACCAGTAGTACGGTTGGGGAAGCAAGCCGGGCGTGCCGCCAGGCTTATTGCCATCGTAGAATGAGAGCATGTCTTCGGCCATGGAGTTGGCCACGCTCTTGATTGAGTCTGGTTGTTACAGATGTCAGCACTATGCTGTGCCACCCCGAAACACACAACTCCCGCATGCCATTTACTATGATATGTGGCATATTTTCAGGCTGGGACCTACCCGTCGACGACGTATCGAGATTGTAGGCGGCTGCCGTTGTGGAAAAAAGAAGCAGCGCCGAGGTGGCCAAGGCGCCGAGCGACCGGTGTAGCCGTCCATGGCCTTGGCTTCCGCGAAGAGCCGCCATGATGACTGTCTATGAGTTCGTGCACGTCGTCCTGCTGCTGGTCGAAGCGAACCGGGGTCTGCTTAATGGATTACTTGGTGCAGTCATGAGAAGAATGAGAAAATGTCGTCGAGATGCTTGTTTTGCAGCTTCAGGGCGCCATGAAGCCGTGTAAGCCAGAGCCACTCAAGCGACCGATAGTCTAGCGAGGGACAGATGGTGAAGTGCGGAGTAGAAGGACGCCCTGCAGGGTAGGAAAGAAACAATGGCGCAAAAGTCGACAAAAGCAAAAGGAATTCTGGAAATTCGACTTTGAGATGGATATTAAGAAAATAGAAAAAAGAACAAAACATTCGAACAGGACGAATGAGACAGAAAAGGAAGGAAGGCGAGCAGGGCCAGGGAAGTTGGTTCTTGCTTGGCCTTAGTCAACGTCAAAGAGTTCGGGGTACTCGTGTGGCGGTCACGACCGGCGACACTGGCAGCCTGCTCCTGCTGTCGATTTCTCGTATACAAGTACACAAAGCACACAAGCACACACCATGCATTACGTAGAGGCGCACTACAGCGCGGTCTCATAGTCGGTTGGGCACTTACATGGACCGTCCTGTGCGGCCCACATAAAAAGCTGAGGAATACGGGAAGTAGGTGAGATATTATGGGGAAGCCTGGTCGTCGTTGCCCGGCATGAGGACAAGGTCCCTCCTACCACACGATACGAGAAACTGATACCATCAAGGCAGGTGCGATGGTACGCTCTCCGCTTGGATAACTACGCACAACGAACGAGGCAGGAGCTGCCCGCTAGCATCGGCCCTCTACGTGAGCTCTTGCTGTAGGAGAAGTGTTGCCATTGTACAATGCTAGGCGGGCCGGGGTTGGCCGTGGAAGGAGCGAAGGAGTGAGGTGGATTCAGTGCATTTCAGCCATTGTCATAGAGGGCAAGACCAGTAAATGTGGGCAGGTGTACTCAGTAGGAAGCATGGCAGGCAGGAACGGAAATGACGGGATGAAGAAGGAACCAAAATGTGGGAGGCGCAACCCAATTGAGCATGACCGAAAGTGGGCAACCAGCAGCGCCAAGACTCGAGGGTTCCCTATTCAGTCCTTCCCGCCATTTTACAATAATACGAGTTTGCCATAGGGGAGATGGTGTACTCCAAACCCGTCTTTGTGGAAAGCGCAGGAGAACAACATACTTTCATGCCCAGTAGTCTCATTGCTCTCAGAACAGTACATCAGCTCAATACGAGAAAAGCACTCATACCAAAGCAAGCCAGCTTGTGGGGTCCAGAGTATTGTTGGTATGCTCCGCTGTTTGTCTTGGCATGCTGTCATTCGATGAATAGTTCACAGGGGGCAGTTGGCACAGGATGACGAAGGAAGGCACAAAAGGAGCCTGAGGGCTGGCTGCGTCTGCGTCGTGCGACATAACGCATGGGATGGAAAGTGGAGACATGTTGGCTTCTTTCTGTTCTCTGCACACCTTGCCTTCTCGCCTCGTTCTTTCCGGCTTCTTCGCCTGCCATTTGTTTCTCGCTCACATCACTCTCCACACCGAGCATTCGCGGACGGCGGACTTGCCGCTTCAGTTTGCCCTGTTCTTGCTCGTATGGGGTGCTTTTCTTGCTGGGCAGAGTTCCATTCCAGTGACACTGCAGAGACCGATCCTGCGGGGAGTCTCACAGTGTCTGAGTGTCTTCTATGTGCCGCAATGCAGAAAACGTCGTCATTCCATCGTCGGCCGTGCGAACCCCTCAACTCAGTGCCGTTCGGTACAAAGTATCCATGGCCACTGGCGCCCGACCAAAGATCAGCAGCCGCTTTCGTATGTCGTACGCCGTAGACTATTTGATGTACTCTTCAACAAATATAGCCCTCGTACGTCATTAGACTGGCGTGGAGGAACGGCACTGTCCAAATCGTCCTGTTGCCAACACGCCTCTTACTCTGCCTTGCTTGTTTTTGCGGCTCACTGCTGTCCATTATAGTGGCTGCCGATCCCGACGTCGCGCTGTTTGGCCGTCTCGTCTATCGTACTTTTCCTCTGTTTCTCGTTTCGTTTGCGGTGCAAAATCGAGAAATCCGATCAGAGACATCGAATCCCCGCTTTTTCTGTTCTTGGATGTTCGCTTGGAAAAGACTGGCTCGGCTGGGCTCTGTCAGCCCCGCCGCCAAAGACAACAAGCAGCAGGCGACTCCAAACCTAAACGGCGCCATTGATCGGGGTTTGCAATCGCCCGCCACCTTTGTCAGATCCAGACAGGATAGTGTGCCTTCACCTGGGATAGCGTGGGATAGCGCTGCAAAATTTACGCACCAAAAATAAAGAAGCATAATTGCCACCTAAAAAAAGCAACAGCATGAGAGATGTAAACGCTGCACCGGAGTGACCTCCCTCCAGCCATTTTACAGGGAGCCACCCTGGCCCGTAAGTGTCCGGGGCGCCTTGGTCAGAACCTACTCCGTACGTCGTAGAGCTTGTCAATACAACCTCGGAGCTTCGTGGCCTCAACGACAGCAAAAGGAAGGCTGGAAAGAGGAAGTGGCTGGCAACCAACAGCCAACGTCCGAGATGCGCGAATACGACGCTGTCACCAAAATGGTTCCTATTTTGTCTCGATTTGACACTTTTTTTTTGGATTTGTGACATTGCATCCAAGCAGACTATCGTGATCCGAGCTTGGGCAGCCGCGCCACTGTGTAAGTCCAACGCTTCTCCAGTGATTCAGTGGTTCAATGTTGCAGCGTTTCAATGGACGCCCGAATACGATCATATGTGGGGTACAAACATGCGCATTATGTGTCCTCGTGCGCCCTATACGATTTAATGCTTCTTTGAAAAGGCCAAGACATACACGAGACACAGGGCACGAGACAAGACAAAGGGCAGTTTGACAGGGCAGATGCAGGCCAGGACCAGGATAGCGGCGGATGTTATGCTGCCCTGTCACACTCCGCCTTTCGTCCGTAAGCACGTCTGCACGACAGGAAACCAGACGGACAGTGACGTGTGCCGTCACTCAGTAACGTCGCGCGTCGTACTTGCAGATGATTTGTCGTTCCACGACAGTCGTCCAAAGGTGAGCAACTACTTCGAGTGTGCAGCACACGTGATATTATAGACACAGAGTATAAGACATCCAAGCAAGGCACTCAAGGCAATTCGTTCAAGGTGAATATCGTATCGTTGTGGCATTGCTTTTGAAAAAGGAAGAGCAAAACATAAACATAAAAGCAAAACGCCTAATGTTGTCGTGTCGCCGTCCCGTGTGCTTGATGTCCCACGAGGGTTTCTATAACAGAAAAGAACGAGAAGAGGAAAGCCAGCAAGAAGTACAACGCAAAGAAAAATGTATCTGAAAACACAAAACATCGTGAAATAGTCCAAACGATCGGATCAACGACGGTTCGTCTTGCCCATGCCACGCTTGCCAACCAGCTGAATGGTGTGTTAGTGGATGCCCAAAACAGAAAAACATGAGAGAACGGAGAGAAAAGGTAGGTTACATACCAAATGCTTTGTGAGCGACGGCGCAATGTGCCGGTCGGCCTCGCCCTGCCGGGCATGCCGGTTCATCGTCTTCTGGCCCAACTTCTTGAGCTTGGCTGTCTTGACGGCCTGCATCACCTTCTCGTCCATGGCCTCGTCGGCGTCGACGTCCATCATCTCGTCGTCGTCGTCGTTGTCGTCGTCGGCGCCACCGTCGCGGCCGCGCACCGCGTTCTTGTGGTCCGCCGCCCGCGACAGAGCCGAGCGCGGCAGGAACGCGCTGTTCTTGAGCGACCGCTTGCGCAGCTTCGAATCGTTGCGGATCAGCGCCAGCTTCTCGCGGATGATGGCCGCCTTGGCCAGGACATCCTCCTCGTCGCTAAAGTTTTCGTCGTCGTCGTCGCCCTCGCCCTCGTCCGAGTCGTAGAAGCCCTCCTCAATCAGCTTGGCCTCCTCGGCCTGGAGCGCCGCCAGCTTCTCGACAATGTCCGGGCTGTAAAAGTCCAGCACGTTCTGCCCGTTCTTGATCTCCGGCATGCGGTCGTGCTGGTGCTCCGGGTCGATGCCGACGTAGTCGCGGCGCATGTCAAAGTTGTACACACCCGCACCGCCCTGCTCGGCCTCGAGCTGCTTCTCGCGGCTGACGGTCGGCGCCGCCGCCGCCCCCGTGCTCTTGCTGGCGCGGTGCGCCTTGATCGCGTCGGGGATCACAACCTCGCCGCGCGGCAGCGGGTTGCCCTCGGCGTCCTTGGGGTACGCCACGTGGATCCGGCGCAGCACCGCCTCGCCGCGCGTGCCCTCCTTGCCGGCCGACGCCTGTGCCGCCGTCATCTTCTTGGCCACACGGTCCGCAATCAGCGTGCTGCACACCGTCTTCTTGAGCTCCGTCACGCCCTCGCCCGTCGCGCATGACAGCTCCAGCGTGCCCACGACGTGCGACGCCTGCGCGAGGCCGTCGATCTGGGCACGGGCCGCCGGGTCCAGGTCGCTGAGCCGGAGAATGTCCGACTTGTTGCTGACCAGGTACACGGAGCGCTGGGCGAAGATGGGCGCCAGGCTCTTGAAGAGCGCGCACTGCGTCTCCAGCGGGTAGCCGCAGTTTTCCGAGGGGTCCAGGAAGAAGAGCACGGCGCAGTTGATGTGGGCCAGCGCCGAGATGGACTGCATCTCGATCGTGGTCATGTCCTCGAGCGGCTTGTCGACGACACCGGGCGTGTCAATCACCTGGTACCGCAGGTAGTCGTGGTCAAAGTGGCCGCAGAACAAGCTCTTGGTCGTGAAGGCGTACGAGTCGACAGGGGTGTCGGAGCGCGAGACGCTGCGCACAAAACTGGACTTGCCCGTGTTGGGCAGGCCGAACACGAGCAGCGTGCGGGTCATGGGGTCGATGGACGGCAGGCGGCCAATGTGCTGCCGCACCTCCTCCAGGTAGGCCAGCGAGTCCTTGAGGCGGCGCATGAGCGTCGACATGCGGCCCAGCGCCGCACGCTTCAGCGTCTTGGCCTGGTAGAGCGACTGCGAGTACTTAAGCAAACGCACGTAGTCACGGGCAATCGTCTCGATGGTGTTCTTGGCGCCCGACAGGTGCGACAGGGCGATCTTGTAATGGTCGGCATCGTACAGGACGTTGAACAGGCTGCTGTCTGGGAGGAGTTAGCATACGCCCCAGTACGGTCCGAGAAGAGAACGGACAGCGAGAGGCAACATACGGAATGGGTGCAGGTCGGCCAGACGCGGGAACGTCGTGATGATCGACGTCAGCTTCTCGGCAAAGGCCTCGGCCGTGAATTTGACTTTGCGGGTGTAGAACGCCCGGATACGCGAGATCTTGAAGCCCGCACGGATCTGGGTCGGCAGCCGCCGCTGCGTCGACGACAGGATGATGTCGACAAACTCCTCCTGCGTCGGCACCGGCGGGATGTCTTTCCACGACGTCCGCATTGTGGAAGCGAGGATTCGAGATGTCGACTGTGTGGGTGATTGTGCAGCTGTGTAAAGATGTGCCCTTGAGACAGTGTGGTCGACGAGGTCGAAGAGGGAGCCGAAGTCGAAAACGCCAGGTGGTCGTCGTCGAACTCGAAAAGTCGGCGAGGGTGAGGGTCCAACAAAAAAATGGTCAAGTTCTGCCGTGCAAAAAAAAATCTAAAAAAGTTCAGAAAACTTTTGGCGGGGAGGAGGGAAAATAAAGTGGAGACATTTGTGTGGATCACCTATTAAAGTGGTTTGCCTGCCAGGTGTCGCGTGTAAGGCCTGACACCTGGCACGCGGCTGCTCGCAAGGAATCTCGTCCTATCGCGGACTAGCGCCTCGTTATCCTTCACCGCCAAAGTATGTCGTATTGTCGAAGTCGTACCCTCACGAGCTTCAGCCCATCCGGGACTGCGTTTTTGAGCCTGAGATCAATTTAACGTTTTGTAAACGAGAATTGGTCTTGCAAATCACTCACATTATATTCTTCCAAGTCATCTCTTGCCCTTCAAATTAAATCTGTGCGAGGGCTATCTAATATAAAGATGTGGACTTTTTAACGACTTGGTAACTTATTTATAAGACTCACATTAACAGTTTTTAATTGTTATTTTTGGAACAAGAAATTGTATACATGAATAGTCACATTCCCGGAACAATTGTTTCTGTAAAATTATTATTGTACAATATACTAATACAACAAGAGAAAACAGTTGCGAAACACACAAAGGTATCGTAGAACATATTGCATAGTAGAACGCCCTGTCCGCGTCACCCGCTGACTGAATGATCAAATAAAACAAAAATGCATTAAAACAAACACAAGTAGTGTTGAGACCCGAGACCTAAAATCAACTACTGTGACGCATGAGGGCTGTCACCAGCCTCATGGCCGTTGTCTTTGCCGCTCGGATCACCGGCGGTGCTACTGGACGGGCTGCTGGACGCCGCCTGCCGACGCAGCGCAGAGCTCCGCAGCAGCCGGCTGGAGAGGCTCAGACGCGCTGCCGACAAGGGACCGCCACCGCCGCTGGTCGAGGCGGACGACGCGGCTTGGCTCTCCCCACCAGAGGCACCTGCAGAGGAGACGAGGCTACCGCCCTGGGACGACGTCTCGGGCGTATGAGGTGAAGATTGCTGCTGCTGCTGCTGCTGCTGCTCTTGGTTCCGGCCCCGTCGTGCATGGCGGGCGTCGTGCTGCTGCATGCTGGTTTGTCTCTGCGATCCACCGCTCTGTTGCTTGTATTCCATCTGCTGCTGCTGCAGCTGTTGACGGAGGCCCGACGAAGCCGGCTTGGACCGGCGGTTGCTACCCCAGAAACCACCACCGCCCGTATTGTTGGTCGTCGTCGTGACGGGCGGCTTGGTGTTGTTGTCGTTTGTCGTATTTGCAGCGCCTGAACCTGAACCTGGACCTGAACCTGAACCGCCCCGGCCCTGGGAATCGGGTCCCAGTATGTTGTTGCCAAACACGTCGTTGGGGTCGTCGTAGTAGCCCGACGAGGACGACACGGAGACATGGCGCATGCTTCTGGCGCGATTGCTGTTCTTGCTGCCGTGGGGACTGGCATGGCCCTCGCCGTCGGCATGGTAGTGCTGCCCGTATGGCGACACGAGCACGGCCGACGAAGACGAGGAGGCATAGTGCGCTGACCGCCGGGCCTGGGCAATGAGACCGCGCGACTTGGTGCTCGCGAGCTCGGCCGGCTGCTGTACCGCGTCCGCACTGGACGACGGCAAATTGCTGCCGCTGCCTGCGCCGCCATGAGCCCGGCCCACCCCCTCGCCAATGGCGAGCTGCGCCTGCATGGCCGTCCAGCTCTCGATGCGGCCGGACGTGGCTTCCTCTGCACACTCGCACTCGTCGCCGGCCGGGCACAGGCGCTCGCCGGCGTCATACCACGCCCGAAGACAGCGCGGATGGCTGGCGCAGCCACAGCCAAAGCACGGCATGTAGATGGCGTCGACGGGTTCGGTGCAGTAGACGCAGCGCAGCTGCGACCGCGCGCGGCGACAGCGGCGGCAGACGCCGACGGCACCGCCCAGTTTGCTGCCCACGCCGCTGGGAACTGCCAGTGCGGCGCGGGAATCGTATTCGAGCGGCTCCAGCTGTAGTTCGCAGTATTCGCAGATGCCAACGGCATCGAGGCCACGGCCAGAGTTTCGCACAGCCAAGAGCCGGTCGTGCTTGGTGTTGTTGCCCAGCGATGCCGACGGCAGACAGGCATCCTCGTCTGCGTTGGTGTTGGCGTTGGTGTTGGTATTGGCATTGGTGCCGTCCGCGCCGATGGCATTGGTATTGACGTCGTCGCCGTTGCGGGCGGCCGCCGCCTTCATGGCATCCTCCCGCAGGACGTTGAACTTGAGGACCTCAAGGCGTGCTAGAGGTTCCGACCATACTTGCAGCAGTTCCGAGTAGGCGTACCGGTATTCCGCGTACAGGCGGCGGCGACGCTTCCCGCCCAGCAGAGATGCCACCATCCAGCCGTCATCGTCAAAGAGGTGGTCGTTGTACGTGCGCACGAGCACGTCGACGGCGACCATGTTGGACACTGCTGCTTCCGCCTGCGCCTTGACACCCTTGGCCACAGCGTTGGCGGCAGCATCCGCAATGGCCTGTTCGCGGCGACGGCCCTCGTCCGAGACCGACGTCGCCGCCGTCCCGGGTTCGGTGGAAGGGCCCGCACTGCCGCCGCTGTTGGCACCATTGCCGCCGCCGCCACCGCCGAACAAGGCAGAGGCCGCCCAAGTAAGGTTGCCTGCCGTCAAGTTGCTAAAAATGGTCTCGGCGGGGCTCGGTCGTTTGCGGATTGGAGCCTGGTCTTGGGGGGAGGAGGACAGTGACGAGAGCTTGCCGCGAGCGGACGTGTTTCGGGGTGATGTCGACGTTGACACGCCGAGGAGCCGCTGGGAGACAGATGTTGGGAAGGGTATGTCGCGGTGCGCTGATTGCGAGTGAAGAACAAGCGGGTCTTGCTGCTGTTGTGGCGGCTGCTGCTGCTGCTGCTGCTGTCTGTTTTGCAGCCTTTGTGCCTGGCCGCCGTGAAGATTGACACCAAGGTACGAGGAGCGGGCTTGTGGAGACGGCCGTTGGGACGAGGGTGCCGAATCGAAGAAGGACTGGCGCCGGGACAAGGCTGGTGGTGTCGGCACGGGGACGGGGCCGCCACCGCTACGATCGTTGGGTGAGGACGACAGGAGAGTGGTCAGTGTCTGCGGGATGCCGGCAGCAATGGCCGACACGACCGCATTGTTGCCCCGGCGCAAGAAACGGCCGGCTGCAGCACCAAACAGGGGAGACGACGAGAGCATACCGCTCCCGGTGCCACTGCCGCCGTTAGGAGCGCTGCCGACTAGCCACTTTGGCGGTGTCTCACCACCAGAGTACGAGTTGTTCTGTGAGAGGCCGTTCTCATGCGTGCCGTTGCCCCACATGACCGTGTCGTATTCATAGTCGTCAAACTCGTCGTCAAAGTCATTGTCCGGGTCAATCGATCCGTCGTAGACGACCGCGCCCGGTGCTGGGGGCATGCTGCTGCCGTTGCTGCCGGAGCCGAACCCGCCGGGTGTGCTGGCGCCGGACAGGACGAGACGGGGCGGCGGTGCCGCGCTGAAATGGCCTCGAGTCGTGGGGACATAGTCGAGCGAGAAGGACGGGGCCTTCATAGGAAGTGGTGTGTCGGATTTCGACAAGTGTGACTCGGCGTAAGCCACGCTGTCTTCTTCAAAGGACTCGCCAAAGACGCACGACAGCATGGCGAGCATCTGGATGTCGGCCAGTCGCTCAAAGTAATCGAAGAGGTCGTCGACAAAGTCACGGGCCAATGGATGCAGGCCCCATTTCACACGACCTGAGAACGTGTCGCGAGAGCGTGACTTTGGGATGAGAAGACTTTGGTCTGGCGCATCGTTGTCCGCGTCGTGGTTGTTCGCATCGGCAACGGCCTCGCGGGCGATGACGAGAATGGACTTTTTGCGCTGGCCAGAGTCGTCGTACATGGACGCCAGTCGCAGCGGCACATCCGACTTGAGCAGCAGGGCCGCATAGCGCCAGATGTTGGCGAGGTCGGCCTCGCCGTACTTTTCAGCCACGCGCGCATTGTGCTGGCAGACGTCGGCGCCGTCGCCAAAGATGGCATAATCACGAGCCAGATCGCGCTTGGACGGTAGGTACGGCCGCATGTTTTCGATGGCAACGGTGCTCTTGGGCCCCACGGGCAGGCCGGGGTCGAGCGTGCCCGACCGGGCGAGCGAGTCGCTATCGTTGTCGTCAAAATCGCTGGCTTGTCTCTTGCGGTCCGACTTTCCGCTGCGGACAATGCGACGTTGGAAGCCCATGTTTGTGCTCCACGGATCCATCAGGTTGGTTGGCGAATAGTGGTTACGAGAGCTCGATGAATCCCCTGAAGACGACGACGACGACGATGACGAGCCGGACGATCCGTCCGAATAAGAAGACGAGTCGGACTCATCCGAGGACGACGAACCGTCGTGCCACTCAGCGCCCTCGACCTGCCGCCGCGACGAGCCACGGGTGCGCGAGCGCGGGAGAACTTTTCCAAAGCCGATGAAGACGGGCTGCTCGAGCTCGGCGAGCTCGTCGCGTGTCGGAGGGGAAGGGGCTTCAAACATAATCTTGGCACTAGCTTTGCCGGCTTTGGTGAGGAAGAAGGTGACGATGCGGCCGTCCCGCGTGAAGACGGCTCCACAGCTCCGAGGCGGTGGCGGTGGCGGCAGGGGCAGCATGGGGCCAATCATGATCTCGGAGCCGATGGCTTGGATGGGCGACATGAAGGCATTCCTGGCGGTCTCCACGTCATCGTCGTCGTCGTCGCTTGACGAGGACGAGGCGCTCTCGTCGTTGGCCAGTCGGGGGTTCGTCAGGGCGCGGTTGAGAAGAGCCAGACTGCTCTGTAGGTCGACCTCGCCGAGCAAGTAGCGGAACGCGACGAGTAAGCAGTTGCTCCGTCGCT